ATGAAAGAGTAAATAAAGAAAATCAATTTGGGCACAATATGTAGGATGACCAACAAGTCAACCAACCGGTGGAAATCCACACCCAGCAGCTGGTGCCTCACGTCCCGTCCCATGAGCCGAGGTCTCGAAGAGCGGGCGCTCAGCTTGCTCCAGATGGAGACAAAGTCTGTAGCAGTTTCCTCAGTCAGGTTTGTCATGGCAGCCCCTGCAAAAATTTAGCAAGGAATGGAGATGAGTAAGAGGGAGGAAGGGAGGAGCAGCTAGGACAGCATGATGTGAGCTCTGTGGTCTTTAGAATCTGGTCTGGAGATTCCCAGTCTTGGCTGCACATTAGAATTGCCCCAGGGAACCTTAAAAGTCCCGGTGTTCATGCCTGGACCAACTAGCTTAGCAGCTTGATGGGTGGCACCCAGGCATCAGAATTTTTTTAAGCTTCCCTGGTGATTCCAACGTGCAGCCAAGATCATGGTACATTTTCATGTCAGGAAGATACCAGGAAGCACAGATTCAATTCCAGCAGCTTGGCAGTTTGGGGAACCCCTCGTGGTAACATGCAGATCTACAGAAACTATGCTGTTGACTACAGTGGTTCTCAAACTTAGCTGCACAGTAGCATCACCTGGTGAAATTTTTTTTTTTAATCGTACTGCCCAGGTCACAGTCCAGATGAATTAAGTCAGAATTTTATAGGTCAGAACACATGTATCAGTATTTCTTTACTTTCTAGGGTTATTTCAAGTCCCATTTCTATATTGCAAATGTTTCTTAGTTTTATATGCAGAGAAATCACCAGTGGATGTTGATAAAATGAAGACTAAGACTGAGTAAGTCTGGATGAGAACTTTCTAACAAGCTCGGTGATGCCGATGCTGCTGGCCCATGGATGACACGTGGAGTAGCAAGACTTTAGTCCATTTTCTCTTCAGAAAGCGACCAGAGACATAAATATAGATCAGCAGCTGCCTTAGGAGTTTCAGAGGAGCCCCAGTTCTCTTGCCAATGATCAGAGGGAGGGAAGGAGAGAGAGAGAGAGAGAAGAAAAACCAGAAACTTATCATTTTGCAACATACACATTATAAAACCATTAAGTTGCACACTTTATGACAAAGTTATACGTCAATTATATCTCAGTAAAACTGGAGAAAGAAATTGTGCACCCTCGTAATATCGCATTCTTTCATAACCAAGTCTAAATTCCCTGCTCACAGGAGATAAAATATGCTCACAATTTTGTGGTCCATGTCCCTGTGACGTTTTTGTATTAGGTACCACTTTTGCTAGTTATGCAGTGGCCAAGGGAGCAACTGTCTCCCTTTGCATGACCATACAACTCTGAGACGTGAGTTTGCAAGTCATCTTTAAGGCGCTGTTTGTCGGTGCACGTAGAAAGCACAAGGGAAGGGTGGGATTCCCAAGAGTGGAGACGTGGTCAATAAAATAAAATAAAAGGCAATCCAAGGTTCCGCATTTGTCAGAGCTCCCCAGGAACACACTCCAGTATAACCTACATCACGTCCCGCTTCCTTCCACGGGAGAGCGGGAAAAGGAACACCATAAATTAGCTGGTTCACAATTGTCCAGCCATTTGAAAAGTGTTAGAGAATTTGGATCCAAAAGACACATAGTGCATTAGATCAAATCTAAAATGATAAACAGCATTATAATAAATGGAATATTCCACACCTTCGGTCCAAGAAATTGACTTACAAGTTGTGATTGGGGAGATCTGAAATGATAGGAGTAATGAATACAAAATATGTACATATTTTATCTGAGCGCAAGTACAAATTAAGTCAATTAAGGTTGCTGTCACTTATTCATTCAATTATTCAAAAAAATCTAGGTCATGTCCAGTGCTAAACCTTACGCATACAGAAAGTCAGACAGGCTCTCTGGCCTTCATCAATGCATAATCTAGCGGTGAGAAAGTTGTAGCTGAGGTAATTGGCTGCAGAAATAAGTACAGTGTTGAATCAAAACCACCTTTGCCCATTTCTTCTTTTCACCTGGTGCATGTTCATCTCTGCGACAGATGACGTAAGAGGAACATTGACAAAAGCACATGCCTTTCGGAGGCTGTCATTAGAACAAGTCTACAAACACAGCTATGTTTGAAAAACAGGGGACCCTGGGAGAAATTTTGCTATGATTTTCAAATACGGGAAGAGTGATTATTGACAAGTGGATTGGAGTTTATTTTGTCAAGCTCTGGAAAGCTGGCTCAGCGCCAGTGGGTGTTACTTACTAGGCAGCAGATCTGGCTCAGAAAAGAGCAGAACCAGAGGGGGCGCCCTGCTCAGAGAGCGCCGCACACGCGCTGAGTGCTCGCTGTGCAGAGCGGGTGCCCGTCCCTCAGGGCCCGTGCACAGGCACTAGAGGACACTTCGTCAGGGAGGATCTAGGGAGGATATCAGCCGTGGGTAGGAGCACAGGACGACAGGCTCAGGAAACTCCCAAATCTGAAAACTCTTGAGTGCATCATGGGCTACATGGTCGTTGTCTTGCCTGCGATGAAAAGAATAATCTGAAGTTGCCTTCAAATTTCTCAGACCCTCTTTTGGTTATAAAGCTGCACATCTAAAAGGAGGCGGGGTCTGAACGTGCTCAAGGTCCCAAATGGAGACTGGGGTACAACTGGCAGTGGTTCACAAGAGGCTTAGAGGCTAAGTGTCCCATTGGACATTTAGAGCACACTGACAGGAAATGATCGCAGGCAGGACGATAGGAAGTAAGATTTATGACACATGTGAGTGTTGAAAAATAAAATACAAGAGGCAAAAATAACACCTTGGAAACACGATCAGTCCCCCCTGCATCAATAGACTGGAAAATGAGGATGTGTGGAAGATGGATTCGGGTAAATGACTTGGATCAGACTGGGGAAATCTTAAGAGTTTCACAGGCATCTTTATGTGCTACCAGTCATGTGTTTAAAGATGCCCACTGGTTCTGGCAAAACAGGCACATTGCCTTAGCCCAGATCCTGGGCCTACCCGCTGGGCTTCAGCTCCATGAAAAGGTGACCAACTGGTTTCCCGACTCTCCTTCCAGGACATGGATCGTGTCGAGTTGCAGCGAGCCCCTCCTTTAGTTAATCACAGGCCTGCTGAATCTCAGCCTGACCACCTGGGCTGATAGCCAGAGCGCACACGCAGCCAGTGGGCTCCAGAGTGGACAGCACTCAGCACTGGCCTGGGCGAGAAAGGGGAAGCAGGGTTTCTCATATTTCTAAAATACCTTGTCTTATTAATAGCACCCTTGCTGACCCAAAAAGGGAAAGGGCTTTAAACTTTAACATCCTGTCTGTCATTTTCTCATTTCGCTCAGTCTGTACAAGCGAAGTTCAGGTTTAGTTTCCTAACGACTCCCTATTAAGTTCTCATTATTATTACATGTGGGTCTCTACTGATGCTGTGAACCATTTGCAAAAAGTTACTTTCTTTGGAATTTTCTAAAACTATTCTGGAAACAGCACTATTTTCGCTAGAATTAATAATGAACCCCTCACCCATTCCACCAACCTTTTTTAATCCTTCCTAGAGCCCAGTTTTGTGTCCTAGGATTGAATTCTCCTTATCTCACCAGTCAACAAACTTTATTTGAACTTTCTAGGATTTGGGTTTAAACATTAGGTAGACTACCAAAAATAATAATAATAATAATAATAATAATAATAATAATAATAATAATCAGGATAAAATAAGAAACCATTCCTTGGTTCAGCGAGTTGATCTGGATAATCCGATTGCAAATCCTTCTGTTAGGGGCAGACTTGCAAAACCCCAATCAACACGAAGAAAATCTTTCATAAAAGCATCACCTTGCCACAAAATGTTTTGCTGCCTCTTCCTCAAAAAGCAAGCCTTCTGTGAAGACGCCTAGCACGCTACATGATTTAAAGTGGTTTTTATCCTGTTTAAAATATTGCTGCATTAAAAAATAAGATCAAGGTATCGTGTCGCAATCAAGGAAGGTGTCGCAAAAATAACAGGTATGTGCAGTTTGAAAAATTTTCGTATCCCTATAATTACTTACACTCCTACTTCCCTTCTTTGTCCTTATCATTTCTTTTTTGTTTTCTGTTCTTATTCTTCACTTTCTGTTCCATCAGCCTTTCCTTCCTTTACTCCCTTTGCTTCCCAGTGCAGAGCCAACCTAGCATATAGTCCAAGTGAAATTTCTACAGAAGTATCTGTTTTTCCATGAATTTTCAAAGAGACAGATTCCTTCTATGCAATCCTACTTCTTTTGCAATGGAACGTGCGTCTGGGTTATAAGACAGCTTCCAGGCTTCTCAGCCTCTTTGGATCTGGAGACGAAGGGGGAGAAAGGAGGCTGGTGACTGTCGGGTAGGTTTCTATTTTTATCTGTGAAAGTTTCAGTTGACAGCTCTGCTTGTCGATGACTTTTTTTTTATCACTTTAAAAGTTTAAGGAGGACAAAGATTGATCCACTTCCTTTCTAAAGAAAAAAAAATCTACAGCAATTGTGATAATCTTGTAGAAATATGTCCTTTCAAGAACAAATTGCTTTCATATGAGAGGTTTCTAGAATCCTTACAGCATTCTTCTGGGAGAATGACTGGGTATCCAAAGGATGGAGATTGCCATAACTCAACTGGAGTCATTCACCAGGAAAAACAAGTGGTCAGCTCCAGGGAGACTCGTCAAGATGGAACCTGGCATTTTGTCATCAATTTAGTCAAGAACTACATAGCTCAGTTCAGGGTCAAGATACAGCCAGTCTCTCTGCTTTACAGAACCATATAGGAAGAAATTATTCTGGTCAAATAAATACATTAACCAGGTATTTCTAACTATTACACATTAATTCTCCACCAGCAATTACAGCATTGTATTGTAAGCATCACTCCACCTTTTTTTCTCTCCCCTTCAACTAGCGGCTCACTATTTGAAATTAAAGACAGTGTTACATCTATCTTTGTGGCCACATAATAAGTATGTAGGAAACACTGGCATGAATTAGGCTTTTTTTTTTAATGTGGCAAGTAGTGAAAAATGCAACTCAAATTGGTGTAAATAAAGAAAATCTGAACAATCTACAAATAGATCTGGCTGCAGGTGAAGCTTGATCTGGTCTTCAAGCACCTGGCTTCCTTGTCTCTTCGCTCTGCCTTTCATGGTACAGCTTCCGTTCCAGCTGTGGCATCAAATGAGTGCAGCAACTCCGCAGCCTCCTACACTAACACATAGTATTCTGAAAAAGAAAGAACACCTCTCAGGAAATAGAAAAAAAAGCCCCTGTATCCAGAAGCCCAAGCGATAGTCTCCTCGACTGTTTCAGTCTTTCATCCAGTCCCTGAACCAGTCAAGTGTGAGTAGTGAAATGAGATGTGCTGTTGAGCACAGGCCAATCAGAACCCTCCTTCTGGAGTCTGGAATAATCAAATCTATCCGGGCCACATTCCCCATAATATGGAATGGGTGAATTCCAAAAGAGGTTAGGGTAACTGTGGTAGACAAAAGGGGCAATGGATGTTTGGGGAAACCCCTCTCCCAAAATTCTTTATAGTACCTAACTAAGAAGTAAATTAATGTGTTTTTAAGGTAAAAATCTTTTATCCAAGTGTTAGAAACAGCGTATACTGTTTACTGAAAATGCACCTGAGAATTTTTGAAATGATGTTTATTTAAAAACAATCTAGGTCCGCATGGCCATCAGTGTGCCTGATTTTTAGATACAAAAACACAATATTTTCTTTTCGAGCTTTGTGCTGGCTTGAATTCTAGATAAACATACTGGTTTCAAAAACCTTAAATACCAAACAGGAAACAGAGGAAAATATATGAATTGTGCCCCAAAATGTATGAAACAGCAAACCAAGCCAAACCTTTTACTGGTAGGTTTGGTTCTTAAAACACGTAAAAACTATTCAAGAATCTACAAGCATTTGCTTCCCAGACCCACAGCCAGAGGAAAGGTGACCAGTTTCTTTAAGTCATGTGATTGAAAGAAGATATTAAATGGTCCCAGTGCCTTGACACAAGTACCTTGAAATCTGTACTAATGGTTACAAATCCTTTCCTAATGGACAAAGGGACATGGCTTTTACAAGGCAAGCATCTTCGGGAGAAAGATCAAAACACACTCTCCCTCCAGAAGGCACCTCCATAGTCAAATATGTTTCTGAATTATTGAAAGAAACTTTGCAAGACAGAATAGTTGTGTTGTGGACCAAGCGAAAGTCATGACTGTAAAGGACTAAACGCATTGATCCTGCCACTTTGAGATATCCCCTCGCTTTCGCCTCAGGAATTTCCATTAATCCTATAAAAATCCGACTCTTATTCTTATATCCCCAGTGCCGACCTCAGAGCCTGGCTCAAACTAGGCTCTGAATAAAGGTTGGTTCTAAAAAAAGGAATAAAGTTGAGGGAAGCCTTACTGAGACTTTTTTATTGTGAAGGGATAAAAGGGGTGCCATCCATTTAAAGATGGGGCCTGGGTGACATCTGGGTTCCATATGGCGACAGAGTTAAAAGCAAGCCACCCTCTGATGTCAGCCCCCTACTCCATAGTTGCCCCATTCATATCAAGCCCTTTGTCACCATTCCTGCATCTTCTGGCCACTGACAGGTGTTCTGAAAGATTATAGTGTGATCCTTTCCATTTGGACTTCACTCTTGGTCTTCTAACACTCAGTTCACTGAAGCTAACACATACTTAGGTCGCAAATTATACATCAGTATTCATCTACCGCTTTAAAATGGAATCTTCTCTTTCAGGGAGGAAATGTGTAATTGGGTTGAATTATTTTAATTAGATGCTTGCGTCTCATTTCTATTTATCAATTTTTCCTGAAGGTCTCAGGTGGGGATTTCACTAAATTCTGTTTCTAATTCATTCTCCTGAAGTAGATACACTTCTCAAGGGGGTGATCCATGGGACCAGAGCCCCAGGGGAAATGAAAGAACCTCACATTCTGCAGGCCACAGAAGTCTTCCTTCAGACAAGCGGAAATGACTGAGGCCCTGAGAACCACCCTCTCACCGAAAGGCAGCACCGCTGTGCCGGGCAGCATCTCCCCGCCCCCAGGAGGGAGCAGCTTCTTGATATTAACGACAAACAGTGTCATCACGTGTCTCCCGCGGGATCACTTCAAGCTCCGGCCCAGCACGCTGCCCACCGAACAGTCCTCTGAGGCAAATGGCAGGTCGAGTTTGAGGGGCCGCCCTGTGGCGGTGACAGTCCCTTGGCAGCTCGCTCACTTGTCAGTCCATGTGCTGGCTGTAGTCAGTGAAGGCTCTGATGAAACAAAGATAGCAAATAATGCAAGCTGACACTGATGGCGAGGTGCCATGGTCCAGCGATGGCTAGGACACATTGCTTCTCACTGTAAGCCTAGCACCAACCCATCAGACGTTCGGGAAGTAATGTGGAGGGTGTAGGATCAGCCAGCCCAGGAACCAGAGGACCTGAGTCCTACTTGTAGCTACTGGTTAGCAGCATGGCCTCGGGCAGCCATTGCCTCCTCTGTGAAGTAGCTCCCTCACTGAAAACACAGATTTGGGCAAGATCATGCTGGGGGCTCCTCCCTTAGCAGATGTCATGGAGACCCTTATCACAAGCCCTGTCTTCCTTCTGTGGTTTATGAAATAAAGTTCAAATTTATCATCTTGGCTTGATATGCCCTCAACAGCCTGACCCCAACTTATATTCATGTCCTGCCCTCCACCCACACCCAGCGCACAATCCATTCATGCTAAAGAAGGCGAGCGATGAGCACACTCACTCTGAGGTTCACATGACTGTTGCCCCCCTCCAAAGTCCCTACCAGGAACGAAGCCTTTTTTTTTCCCTTCATTGAGTGCCCAAGCCAGCCCCGAGCTTGGCCCTTTATAAGTGCTCAATAAATGCTTGTAAAATGGAAGAATTCAATGTGCTGCTTCACCCGGGGTCATTTATTCATCAAGTGGAGATGCACAGAGCTTAAAATTGCTGATTTTCGAAACCAGTAGTTAGCAAGCACATTTCTGCAGGATAGGGGAGTCTACTGAGACACCTGGAGGTTTATTTCCTAGGTCCCTATATACATGTATCCCCCAGATTCTGCCATTGTTCTCAGTCCTATTTTCATGCACTTTCTGAGTCCTGGCATGGCTTTCTCTCTGTCTCTCATTTTTTCCAAGCCCTATACCATTCATGACAACTTCTCAATCTCCAGGCCCACATTTGTCTTTCCTCTTCTAAAGTCCTGTATCACTACCATTCACTTTTTATTTATTAATATTTAACATTTCCCAGGGAAAAGCATGGAGATCAAGAGATTCAAATTCTAGTCCTAAATCAGCACTGTCCAGCTCTGTAATTATGAGTGTGTCTCCACTTTACCAAATCTGATGACAAGATTTGGTGAATCTGGCCCTCAGATAAGCCTCAGCTTTTGTGCTTGGTGATTGATAAGTTCCATCTGGAGCAGGATGCTGTAAAGATTTCCAAGGTAGTCCTCGGGGTCAGCGAGAAAAAGTTCAGTTAGCAACTTTTGCCATTGCCAGAGCAAAAATCACATCCAAGCAACAGACCCAGGACTAAACTTCAGGAGTATCTGGGCACCTGCTGTCTTCCTAACATGATCTTTGTCTCACCCTTCTTTGAAAGGGCTCTTCTCTGACAAGGGCTGCTCAACTCTGCATCCTGCCCATAGCAGCCACTCCATTAAGATATTCTGAATGAACAAAGACGTAAACCTTGAAAAATTCTGAAGGCAACCATTTTAATTAAATCAAAGCATATTGAAAGAAATACACAGATTTATTTTTCCAAAGCATATTTTTTTCAAGAATTTATTTTTACTTCACTCTCCTAAGACTTAAAACGTGGGTTTCCCTGGAAGGAATTCCATTTATTCGATGTGATGATGAAAAGCTTCTGTGTGCTACTAGAGGGTTACAGCCACATGCTTGATGAATTCTGTATGGTTAAGCAACTGAATTTTTTTGGTATGCAGCATTTATTTTTATTTCTTTAATAACAGCTTTATTGAGATATAATTACATCCCATAAAGTTTACCTTTTTGAATGCTAGAATTCAATGGTTTTTAATACATTCACAGAGTTGTGTATTTATCACCACTATCTAATTCTAGAACATTTTAATCACCCCGAAATAAGCCCCACATCCATTCGCAATGATTCTCAATTTCCCCCTTGCCCTAACCTATGGCAACTACTAAACCACGTTCTGTCTTTATGGGTTTCCATCTTTGGACATTTCATATAAATGGAATCACACAATAGGTGGTCCTTGGTGTCTGGCTTCCTTCATAGGGCATCATGTTTCCATGTTTCATCCATTGGTAGCATATGTCAGTACTTTGTTCCTTTTATGACTGAGTAATATTCCATTGTGTGGATAGACCACATTTTGTTGGTCTATTCACCACTTGATGGCATTTGGGGTGTTTCTACTTTTTGGCTATTGTGAATAACACTGCCATGAACACCTTTAGGTTTTGTGTAGGAGGAATTGGGTCAAGTGGTAAATCTTTAATGCACTGAAGAATGCCTGAAGCTGAGCTGTTGGAGGATAGACAGATACCAGGCATATTTTAATTACATTATTCCCAAATGGTAGGTTGTAGCTCATCTTCCCACTCTTAAAATCAAGCAACTTAGTGACATCCTTGACCAGTAGCAGGGATACTGACGAGAACGTTGGACCTGACTTGCAAGTAGAGTGAACTAGCCCAGATGGGGACGGTTGTCACATTGTAACTCTGTTCCCCACACCCCTTGTGAAAATGATGCCAGTTTCCAGAAATCAGTGGGGCAGGAAATTTTAGCAAAGAAAGGAGTTATCTATGAGACGTATTCCAAGGACTGGGTCCTGAGTCTGATAGGCACAGCACATCCCCTTCCTCCACATACTCTGGAATTTGTCATCCATGGGCTGCTTCTGAGTCTGTGTCCTTATCTGTAATAACACCTACTCTAGGGGTTGCTTTGAGGAAATGTGGAGTAGCAAGTGAAGAGTGTGTGAGATGGTGCCTAGCTCACAGAATATTACAAACGATCATTTCAGGTGTTAGTCCTTCCTTTCCATATGATACAGATATATGTAGTCCAAAGCGTACTAGGCTTGTAATGAGAAGATGTAGATTACGGTTTTAGTTTTGCTTTTTACTAGCCCTGTGAACTTGGGCAACTCAATGGAAGCCTACATTTCTCTGTCTTTAAAATGAAGATGATCATGCCTCCTTTTCCTTCTAATTGTCTGACTCCCAAGACTCCTACTATGTAGGAAGAAGTGCTTTGTAATTGTACAAGTGTTCAATAAATGTTTTAATATGATTTTTTTCCTCCATTCCTCCTGACAGGTGTCATGCTGGATTCATGTCCTCATCAGCAACAATGAGATCAGAGAGGAAAAAGAACACACCCAGACTCCAAATATGTGCTGCTGTGGGTTGCTACACTCCATCAAACAATGACACATAGATTCCACAATATTTGAGACCAAACTCCTGATTTCTGAAACTCAGGCCTGAGATAAACCTAATGCTGCACTGAACCTAAAATAGACTTCCCCTGCACGGGACAGTAGTAAATTTCTCAATTTCACAGAGATGCCACAGAATCATTGTGCATCTGGCGGAGGTCAAGGATGCCCACAGTCCATGTAGCTTTAATTATTGACCTTCTATCTTGACAAAAGCACCGAGGACCAGATACATGCCCCTACATGTGCATGTAGGGGGAAAAAACTCCGAAGAAAGAAGCCTAATATTTATGATATGTGCTATAGATCGTTGGCTTCAACAGATTCTAGCTTACCTTTCTGAGGTATGGAAACTGTCACAGTAAAAATTATATTTTAAACCTGTTATGAAGTTAGAAATCCATATGTGAACTAAATTTCACCACGCAGATACTATCCCACATGTCTTGGAAGGGAAGGGAGAAAATCGAAGCCGTGCCCTACATTGAGAAGATCTAATTTTTTGGCAAGCGAGGCTACGGCTATTCTGAACCACAGAATACGTTTTACGGTCTAGGCCTCGGCATTGTAGCGCTGACTGGTAGGTGGTGTCAGTAAGAATGTTTCTAGTGGAGAGCTTTGCTCCATCTGGCTGCACTGCTCTTCCCTGCATAGCATCCAAGCCCCGATCTCCATGAACTGCTTGTACCAAATCAAAGCTCCTTCTGATTAATAGCTATAGTGGACTCTGTTGTCAGTGACTAACAACCTCCACTGAGAGTACTCCATCATGATGCTCGAATGAGGATGAAAAAGAACCATGGAATTTAGATTTCACAACATATTTGGAAAAGGTAGAAGGAGGTGTTATTGTTTTAAAATTAGTTACATGTAAGATCTCTAATATGAAGTTGATAGAGAACTGGAATTCTTTTTTCTGTGATTGTGGTCAATTTAATATTCTATGTATTCAAGGTTTATGTAGCCACATAGTCTTTTTTTTTTTTTGTAAAGTCCAGTTTTATTTAATTTTTCCAGACCTTTCTTCTAAATCTATTTTCCTCAATTGAGGCACAGCAGTGTCCTGCTGAAAGTTAATAAGGATATTTCAATTAAAGTTAGGAAAATTTCCCAATTTACAAATACAAATATTTTAGCATCATGATTTATAAAATTAACAGTGTTAACCATAGGTTGCCCTTCTGGGGACTTTATGCTAGAGGATATTTAGTTTTTCATGTCTATGATCTTAAGGCACTATATATAAATCATAGTTTGAATCTTGGAAGAAATTTAATTGGTAGAGACACCTTATTTTAGACATGAGAGCCAGCCAAAGGTCATTCTAGCAATTAGCTCCTGCCTTATTCTTGGGGAAAAAAAGAACAAGGAAGGAAGGAAGGGAGGAAGGAAATAAGAAAAACACCCTCACGTCACCCTCTTGTTGTTCTAGGAGCTGGACATTTGTCCCATTTCTTCTAAATTGGAACCGTGTTTTATTCTTGTTTGAATTCTACAGACTATAACTCTTGTTTAAACCTAAATAAATCCCTTTGCTAGGGAACTGTGCTCTGCTGGAGAAAGTCAAAGATGATCTTCCTGTCTACCCAGGGGAATGCTTGTTCTCTTCTCATAATTAATTCATTCATTCACCTGTAGTGAAGACTGTTATATATTCACTGCAAACTGTTTCCTCTGTGTGGTTGAAAGAATAAACCCCCCGAAGATGTCCAAGACGCCTACATCCTAATTGCTAGAATCTGTGAATACATGACCTTACATAGAAAAAGAGGACTTCCGGGCAAGATGGCTGAGTAGAAGGAC